AACCCATCCATACCATGTAGTCCCAGCTTACAATGGCTTACTGTTTGTAGCAGGTGCTAACCCATCCATACCATGTAGTCCCAGCTTACAATGGCTTACTGTTTGTAGCAGGTGCTAACCCATCCATACCATGTAGTCCCAGCTTACAATGGCTTACTGTTTGTAGCAGGTGCTAACCCATCCATACCATGTAGTCCCAGCTTACAATGGCTTACTGTTTGTAGCAGGTGCTAACCCATCCATACCATGTAGTCCCAGCTTACAATGGCTTACTGTTTGTAGCAGGTGCTAACCCAGCCATACCATGTAGTCCCAGCTTACAATGGCTTACTGTTTGTAGCAGGTGCTAACCCATCCATACCATGTAGTCCCAGCTTACAATGGCTTACTGTTTGTAGCAGGTGCTAACCCATCCATACCATGTAGTCCCAGCTTACAATGGCTTACTGTTTGTAGCAGGTGCTAACCCATCCATACCATGTAGTCCCAGCTTACAATGGCTTACTGTTTGTAGCAGGTGCTAACCCAGCCATACCATGTAGTCCCAGCTTACAATGGCTTACTGTTTGTAGCAGGTGCTAACCCATCCATACCATGTAGTCCCAGCTTACAATGGCTTACTGTTTGTAGCAGGTGCTAACCCATCCATACCATGTAGTCCCAGCTTACAATGGCTTACTGTTTGTAGCAGGTGCTAACCCATCCATACCATGTAGTCCCAGCTTACAATGGCTTACTGTTTGTAGCAGGTGCTAACCCATCCATACCATGTGTAGTCCCAGCTTACAATGGCTTACTGTTTGTAGCAGGTGCTAACCCATCCATACCATGTAGTCCCAGCTTACAATGGCTTACTGTTTGTAGCAGGTCCCAGCTAACTGTTTGTAGCAACCCATCCATACCATGTAGTCCCAGCTTACAATGGCTTACTGTTTGTAGCAGGTGCTAACCCATCCATACCATGTAGTCCCAGCTTACAATGGCTTACTGTTTGTAGCAGGTGCTAACCCATCCATACCATGTAGTCCCAGCTTACAATGGCTTACTGTTTGTAGCAGGTGCTAACCCATCCATACCATGTAGTCCCAGCTTACAATGGCTTACTGTTTGTAGCAGGTGCTAACCCATCCATACCATGTAGTCCCAGCTTACAATGGCTTACTGTTTGTAGCAGGTGCTAACCCATCCATACCATGTAGTCCCAGCTTACAATGGCTTACTGTTTGTAGCAGGTGCTAACCCATCCATACCATGTAGTCCCAGCTTACAATGGCTTACTGTTTGTAGCAGGTGCTAACCCATCCATACCATGTAGTCCCAGCTTACAATGGCTTACTGTTTGTAGCAGGTGCTAACCCATCCATACCATGTAGTCCCAGCTTACAATGGCTTACTGTTTGTAGCAGGTGCTAACCCATCCATACCATGTAGTCCCAGCTTACAATGGCTTACTGTTTGTAGCAGGTGCTAACCCATCCATACCATGTAGTCCCAGCTTACAATGGCTTACTGTTTGTAGCAGGTGCTAACCCATCCATACCATGTAGTCCCAGCTTACAATGGCTTACTGTTTGTAGCAGGTGCTAACCCATCCATACCATGTAGTCCCAGCTTACAATGGCTTACTGTTTGTAGCAGGTGCTAACCCATCCATACCATGTAGTCCCAGCTTACAATGGCTTACTGTTTGTAGCAGGTGCTAACCCATCCATACCATGTAGTCCCAGCTTACAATGGCTTACTGTTTGTAGCAGGTGCTAACCCATCCATACCATGTAGTCCCAGCTTACAATGGCTTACTGTTTGTAGCAGGTGCTAACCCAGCCATACCATGTAGTCCCAGCTTACAATGGCTTACTGTTTGTAGCAGGTGCTAACCCATCCATACCATGTAGTCCCAGCTTACAATGGCTTACTGTTTGTAGCAGGTGCTAACCCATCCATACCATGTAGTCCCAGCTTACAATGGCTTACTGTTTGTAGCAGGTGCTAACCCAGCCATACCATGTAGTCCCAGCTTACAATGGCTTACTGTTTGTAGCAGGTGCTAACCCATCCATACCATGTAGTCCCAGCTTACAATGGCTTACTGTTTGTAGCAGGTGCTAACCCAGCCATACCATGTAGTCCCAGCTTACAATGGCTTACTGTTTGTAGCAGGTGCTAACCCATCCATACCATGTAGTCCCAGCTTACAATGGCTTACTGTTTGTAGCAGGTGCTAACCCATCCATACCATGTAGTCCCAGCTTACAATGGCTTACTGTTTGTAGCAGGTGCTAACCCATCCATACCATGTAGTCCCAGCTTACAATGGCTTACTGTTTGTAGCAGGTGCTAACCCATCCATACCATGTAGTCCCAGCTTACAATGGCTTACTGTTTGTAGCAGGTGCTAACCCATCCATACCATGTAGTCCCAGCTTACAATGGCTTACTGTTTGTAGCAGGTGCTAACCCATCCATACCATGTAGTCCCAGCTTACAATGGCTTACTGTTTGTAGCAGGTGCTAACCCATCCATACCATGTAGTCCCAGCTTACAATGGCTTACTGTTTGTAGCAGGTGCTAACCCATCCATACCATGTAGTCCCAGCTTACAATGGCTTACTGTTTGTAGCAGGTGCTAACCCATCCATACCATGTAGTCCCAGCTTACAATGGCTTACTGTTTGTAGCAGCAGCTAACCCATCCATACCATGTAGTCCCAGCTTACAATGGCTTACTGTTTGTAGCAGGTGCTAACCCATCCATACCATACCATGTAGTCCCAGCTTACAATGGCTTACTGTTTGTAGCAGGTGCTAACCCAGCCATACCATGTAGTCCCAGCTTACAATGGCTTACTGTTTGTAGCAGGTGCTAACCCAGCCATACCATGTAGTCCCAGCTTACAATGGCTTACTGTTTGTAGCAGGTGCTAACCCATCCATACCATGTAGTCCCAGCTTACAATGGCTTACTGTTTGTAGCAGGTGCTAACCCATCCATACCATGTAGTCCCAGCTTACAATGGCTTACTGTTTGTAGCAGGTGCTAACCCATCCATACCATGTAGTCCCAGCTTACAATGGCTTACTGTTTGTAGCAGGTGCTAACCCATCCATACCATGTAGTCCCAGCTTACAATGGCTTACTGTTTGTAGCAGGTGCTAACCCATCCATACCATGTAGTCCCAGCTTACAATGGCTTACTGTTTGTAGCAGGTGCTAACCCAGCCATACCATGTAGTCCCAGCTTACAATGGCTTACTGTTTGTAGCAGGTGCTAACCCATCCATACCATGTAGTCCCAGCTTACAATGGCTTACTGTTTGTAGCAGGTGCTAACCCAGCCATACCATGTAGTCCCAGCTTACAATGGCTTACTGTTTGTAGCAGGTGCTAACCCAGCCATACCATGTAGTCCCAGCTTACAATGGCTTACTGTTTGTAGCAGGTGCTAACCCATCCATACCATGTAGTCCCAGCTTACAATGGCTTACTGTTTGTAGCAGGTGCTAACCCATCCATACCATGTAGTCCCAGCTTACAATGGCTTACTGTTTGTAGCAGGTGCTAACCCAGCCATATACCATGTAGTCCCAGCTTACAATGGCTTACTGTTTGTAGCAGGTGCTAACCCATCCATACCATGTAGTCCCAGCTTACAATGGCTTACTGTTTGTAGCAGGTGCTAACCCATCCATACCATGTAGTCCCAGCTTACAATGGCTTACTGTTTGTAGCAGGTGCTAACCCAGCCATACCATGTAGTCCCAGCTTACAAATGGCTTACTGTTTGTAGCAGGTGCTAACCCATCCATACCATGTAGTCCCAGCTTACAATGGCTTACTGTTTGTAGCAACCCATCCATACCATGTAGTCCCAGCTTACAATGGCTTACTGTTTGTAGCAGGTGCTAACCCATCCATACCATGTAGTCCCAGCTTACAATGGCTTACTGTTTGTAGCAGGTGCTAACCCATCCATACCATGTAGTCCCAGCTTACAATGGCTTACTGTTTGTAGCAGGTGCTAACCCATCCATACCATGTAGTCCCAGCTTACAATGGCTTACTGTTTGTAGCAGGTGCTAACCCATCCATACCATGTAGTCCCAGCTTACAATGGCTTACTGTTTGTAGCAGGTGCTAACCCATCCATACCATGTAGTCCCAGCTTACAATGGCTTACTGTTTGTAGCAGGTGCTAACCCATCCATACCATGTAGTCCCAGCTTACAATGGCTTACTGTTTGTAGCAGGTGCTAACCCATCCATACCATGTAGTCCCAGCTTACAATGGCTTACTGTTTGTAGCAGGTGCTAACCCAGCCATACCATGTAGTCCCAGCTTACAATGGCTTACTGTTTGTAGCAGGTGCTAACCCAGCCATACCATGTAGTCCCAGCTTACAATGGCTTACTGTTTGTAGCAGGTGCTAACCCATCCATACCATGTAGTCCCAGCTTACAATGGCTTACTGTTTGTAGCAGGTGCTAACCCATCCATACCATGTAGTCCCAGCTTACAATGGCTTACTGTTTGTAGCAGGTGCTAACCCATCCATACCATGTAGTCCCAGCTTACAATGGCTTACTGTTTGTAGCAGGTGCTAACCCATCCATACCATGTAGTCCCAGCTTACAATGGCTTACTGTTTGTAGCAGGTGCTAACCCATCCATACCATGTAGTCCCAGCTTACAATGGCTTACTGTTTGTAGCAGGTGCTAACCCATCCATACCATGTAGTCCCAGCTTACAATGGCTTACTGTTTGTAGCAGGTGCTAACCCATCCATACCATGTAGTCCCAGCTTACAATGGCTTACTGTTTGTAGCAGGTGCTAACCCAGCCATACCATGTAGTCCCAGCTTACAATGGCTTACTGTTTGTAGCAGGTGCTAACCCATCCATACCATGTAGTCCCAGCTTACAATGGCTTACTGTTTGTAGCAGGTGCTAACCCATCCATACCATGTAGTCCCAGCTTACAATGGCTTACTGTTTGTAGCAGGTGCTAACCCAACTATTGGTGGTCGCAGTTCTGGTGGTGAGTAGCTGAAGTGTTGAGCTGTTTGACTCGATTAGTTCTTGTAACAACTGTTGTGACAGACTTTACCCTGGAAGAATTGGTTAGTGTAGATTCATAGGTTGTTCTGAGAATTTGCTTTAAATTGTTCAGTATTTTGGCATCGATAGGGGCACATGATGTTTATTTGTATCATAGCAACGAACCGTGAATATTTCATGGTATCGAAATCAGAAATGTTGACCTAACTGATTCTGTGCATGTTGACATCATTAGATAATTCCTTATGTTTTGCTTTGGGAAGTTTTTACTGACAACGTTGCACTTTCTGTTTTGGCCCTTGACAAACTGATTTGTCTCAAGCTTATGACTGACCTGAAACTGATACTCAAACTTAATATTTACATTTAACTGATGCTCTGGATTTTAACAAGTTACATACCTTCTTTCACAGATTCCAGTGTAACTTTACAGTGTGTTAATGTTGTAGGATTTCTGACTTACATGGAAATCTAATATAGCTCTACAGGGAAAAGTCTGCATAGAAATTTACAAGATATTTTTATTCAGTTTTTCAAAAGTTTCTTATAATTAACGATTTTACTAAAATGCATACTAATAGCAGTGTTGAGTCTAACACGCACTCTCCTAGACACTGTTGTGTGATCACAGTGTCGTAAGGCCGAACACATTGACACTGTTGTGATAACACTCCTCTGTAGTTGTAACACTTCAGTAATACAACTGAAAACAACAAAGCAACATTACCTGAACATACAGTGTCCACTACTTTATAACCTGAACATTTATATTACCTGAACATACAGTGTTCACTACATTATTACCTGAACATACAGTGTTCACTACATTACCTGAACATACAGTGTTCACTACATTATTACCTGAATACATCCAGTGTTCACTATGTTGTGTACTACTGAAAATACAGTGTTCACTACGTTATTACCTGAAAAATACAGTGTTCACTACGTTATTACCTGAACATACAGTGTCCACTATGTTACCTGAACATACAGTGTCCACTACGTTATTACCTGAACATACAGTGTCCACTATGTTATTACCTGAACATACAGTGTCCACTATGTTATTACCTGAACATACAGTGTTCACTACGTTATTACCTGAACATACAGTGTCCACTACGTTATTACCTGAACATACAGTGTTCACTACATTATTACCTGAACATACAGTGTTCACTACGTTATTACCTGAACATACAGTGTTCACTATGTTATTACCTGAACATACAGTGTTCACTACATTATTACCTGAACATACAGTGTTCACTATGTTATTACCTGAACATACAGTGTTCACTACGTTATTACCTGAACATACAGTGTTCACTACGTTATTACCTGAACATACAGTGTTCACTATGTTATTACCTGAACATACAGTGTTCACTACATACAGTTATTACCTGAACATACAGTGTTCACTACGTTATTACCTGAACATACAGTGTTCACTACAGTTATTACCTATGAACATACAGTGTTCCACTATGTTATTAACATTACCTGAACTTTGTTCACTATGTTATTACCTGAACATACAGTGTTCACTATGTTATTACCTGAACATACAGTGTTCACTACATTATTACCTGAACATACAGTGTTCACTACGTTATTACCTGAACATACAGTGTTCACTACATTAGGACCTGAACATACAGTGTTCACTATTTTATTACCTGAACATACAGTGTTACACTACATTGTTACCTGAACATACAGTGTTCACTATGTTATTACCTGAACTTGCAGTGTTCACTATGTTATTACCTGAACATCCAGTGTCCACTACTTTATAACCTGAACATACAGTGTCCACTACATTATTACCTGAACATTGCAGTGTTCACTATGTTATTACCTGACCTGAACATACAGTGTCCCTGAACATACAGTGTTACTACATTATTACCTGAACATACAGTGTCCACCTACATTGTTACCTGAACATGAACATACAGTGTCCACTACATTATTACCTGAACATACAGTGTTCATTACACCTGAACATTCAGTGTTCACACTCCACAAGTTCTGCAATTGCTAAAAGCAAATCTACATCACCTGAAAATATATTGTCCATAACACTCACACCCGCTGCACAGATGCTTGTCCGATCACATCCTTCTAAATAACAGGAAAGCTGCATTATCTGAAGATACAATGTCCACAACACTCACACCCACACAGATGCTGGTACGATCATGAGCCTTCTAAATAACAGGACATCTTTATCACCTGAAGATACATCATCCACAACAGTCACACCCACACCCACACAGACGCTGGTCCAATCACATCCTTCTATACAAAAGGAAAGCTGCATTATCTGAAGATGCATTGTCCACAACACTCAAACCCACACACAGACGCTCGACTGATCACATCCTTCTAACCCACACAGACGGATAATAGGACACCAGCATCACCTGAAGAACTCCATGGACTGTGTAAACTACAAACTACAGACTGTACAGTCAGTTCCTGTATTCTCTGGTAGGGTTAGTTGTAATCGTAATCGTGACCAGTTGATTCAGGGCAATATTGCTGCCTTCACCTGGCTTCTGTACTTCGCAGCTGGGCCATGGTGGCTGTCTTGTACTGTGATGTTCTAGTCTACGACTGGCTGGTGCCATGGTGGCTGTCTTGTACTGTGATGTTCTAGTCTACGACTGGCTGGTTGCCATGGTGGCTGTCCTGTACTGTGATGTTCTAGTCTACGACTGGCTGGTTGCCATGGTGGCTGTCCTGTACTGTGATGTTCTAGTCCACAACCTGCTGGTTGCCATGGTGCCTGTCCTGTACTGTGATGTTCTAGTCCACGACTGGCTGGTTGCCATGGTGGCTGTCCTGTACTGTGATGTTCTAGTCCACAACCTGCTGGTTGCCATGGTGGCTGTCCTGTACTGTGATGTTCTAGTCCACGACTGGCTGGTTGCCATGGTGGCTGTCCTGTACTGTGATGTTCTAGTCCACAACTGGCTGCTGCCATGGTGGCTGTCCTGCACTGTGATGTTCTAGTCTACGACTGGCTGCTGCCATGGTGGCTGTCCTGTACTGTGACGTTCTAGTCCACGACTGGCTGGTTGCCATGGTGGCTGTCCTGTACTGTGATGTTCTAGTCTACGACCTGCTGGTTGCCATGGTGGCTGTGCTGTACTGTGATGTTCTAGTCCACGACTGGCTGGTGCCATGGTGGCTGTCTTGTACTGTGATGTTCTAGTCCACGACTGGCTGGTTGCCATGGTGGCTGTCCTGTACTGTGATGTTCTAGTCTACGACCTGCTGGTTGCCATGGTGGCTGTCCTGTACTGTGATGTTCTATTCCACAACCTGCTGGTTTTGCCATGGTGGCTGTCCTGTACTGTGATGTTCTAGTCCACGACTGGCTGGTTGCCATGGTGGCTGTCCTGTACTGTGATGTTCTAGTCCACAACCTGCTGGTTGCCATGGTGGCTGTCCTGTACTGTGATGTTCTAGTCCACGACTGGCTGGTTGCCATGGTGGCTGTCCTGTATTGTGATGTTCTAGTCCACAACTGGCTGCTGCCATGGTGGCTGTCCTGCACTGTGATGTTCTAGTCTACGACTGGCTGGTGCCATGGTGGCTGTCCTGTACTGTGACGTTCTAGTCCACGACTGGCTGGTTGCCATGGTGGCTGTCCTGTACTGTGATGTTCTAGTCTACGACCTGCTGGTTGCCATGGTGGCTGTGCTGTACTGTGACGTTCTAGTCCACGACTGGCTGGTTGCCATGGTGGCTGTCCTGTACTGTGATGTTCTAGTCTACGACTGGCTGGTGCCATGGTGGCTGTCCTGTACTGTGATGTTCTAGTCTACGACTGGCTGGTTGCCATGGTGGCTGTCCTGTACTGTGATGTTCTAGTCTACGACTGGCTGGTTGCCATGGTGGCTGTCCTGTACTGTGATGTTCTAGTCAACGACTGGCTGCTGCCATGGTGGCTGTCTTGTGCTGTGATGTTCTAGTCTACGACCTGCTGCTGGTGCCATGGTGGCTGTCCTGTATTGTGATGTATTATTCTATGACTGGCTGGTGCAATGGTGGCTGTCCTGTACTGTGATGTTCTAGTCTATGACTGGCTGGTGCCATGGTGGCTGTCCTGTACTGTGATGTTCTAGTCCACGACTGGCTGCTGCCATGGTGGCTGTCTTGTACTGTGATGTTCTAGTCTACGACCTGCTGGTTGCCATGGTGGCTGTCCTGTACTGTGATGTTCTAGTCTACGACCTGCTGGTTGCCATGGTGGCTGTCCTGTACTGTGATGTTCTAGTCCACGACTGGCTGGTTGCCATGGTGGCTGTCTTGTACTGTGATGTTCTAGTCCACAACTGGCTGGTGCCATGGTGGCTGTCCTGTACTGTGATGTTCTAGTCTACAACTGGCTGGTTGCCATGGTGGCTGTCCTGTACTGTGATGTTCTAGTCCACAACTGGCTGGTGCCATGGTGGCTGTCCTGTACTGTGATGTTCTAGTCTACGACTGGCTGGTTGCCATGGTGGCTGTCCTGTACTGTGTGATGTTCTAGTCTACGACTGGCTGCTGCCATGGTGGCTGTCTTGTACTGTGATGTTCTATTCCACAACCTGCTGGTTGCCATGGTGGCTGTCCTGTACTGTGATGTTCTAGTCCACGACTGGCTGGTTGCCATGGTGGCTGTCCTGTACTGTGATGTTCTAGTCCACAACCTGCTGGTTGCCATGGTGGCTGTCCTGTACTGTGATGTTCTAGTCCACGACTGGCTGGTTGCCATGGTGGCTGTCCTGTATTGTGATGTTCTAGTCCACAACTGGCTGCTGCCATGGTGGCTGTCCTGCACTGTGATGTTCTAGTCTACGACTGGCTGCTGCCATGGTGGCTGTCCTGTACTGTGACGTTCTAGTCCACGACTGGCTGGTTGCCATGGTGGCTGTCCTGTACTGTGATGTTCTAGTCTACGACCTGCTGGTTGCCATGGTGGCTGTGCTGTACTGTGACGTTCTAGTCCACGACTGGCTGGTTGCCATGGTGGCTGTCCTGTACTGTGATGTTCTAGTCTACGACTGGCTGGTGCCATGGTGGCTGTCTTGTACTGTGATGTTCTAGTCTACGACCTGCTGGTTGCCATGGTGGCTGTCCTGTACTGTGATGTTCTAGTCTACGACTGGCTGGTTGCCATGGTGGCTGTCCTGTACTGTGATGTTCTAGTCCACGACTGGCTGCTGCCATGGTGGCTGTCTTGTACTGTGATGTTCTAGTCTACGACCTGCTGGTTGCCATGGTGGCTGTCCTGTATTGTGATGTATTATTCTATGACTGGCTGGTGCAATGGTGGCTGTCTTGTACTGTGATGTTCTAGTCTATGACTGGCTGGTGCCATGGTGGCTGTCCTGTACTGTGATGTTCTAGTCCACGACTGGCTGCTGCCATGGTGGCTGTCTTGTACTGTGATGTTCTACAGTCTACGACCTGCTGGTTGCCATGGTGGCTGTCCTGTACTGTGATGTTCTAGTCTACGACCTGCTGGTTGCCATGGTGGCTGTCCTGTACTGTGATGTTCTAGTCCACGACTGGCTGGTTGCCATGGTGGCTGTCTTGTACTGTGATGTTCTAGTCCACAACTGGCTGGTGCCATGGTGGCTGTCCAATACTGTGATGTTCCTAGTCCACAACTGGCTGGTGCCATGGTGGCTGTCTTGTACTGTGATGTTCTAGTCCACAACTGGCTGGTGCCATGGTGGCTGTCCTGTACTGTGATGTTCTAGTCTACGACTGGCTGGTTGCCATGGTGGCTGTCCTGTACTGTGATGTTCTAGTCAACGACTGGCTGCTGCCATGGTGGCTGTCTTGTACTGTGATGTTCTAGTCTACGACCTGCTGGTTGCCATGGTGTCTGTCCTGTACTGTGATGTTCTAGTCTACGACTGGCTGGTTGCCATGGTGTCTGTCCTGTACTATGATGTTCTAGTCCACAACTGGCTGGTGCCATGGTGTCTGTCCTGTACTGTGATGTTCTAGTCTACGACTGGCTGGTTGCCATGGTGGCTGTCCTGTACTGTGATGTTCTAGTCTACGACTGGCTGGTGCCATGGTGGCAGTCCTGTACTGTGGTGTTTTATTCTATGACTGGCTGGTGCAATGGTGGCTGTCTTGTACTGTGATGTTCTAGTCTATGACTGGCTGGTGCCATGGTGGCTGTCCTGTACTGTGATGTTCTAGTCTACGACTGGCTGGTGCCATGTTGTCTGTCCTGTACTGTGATGCTCTAGTCTACGACTGGCTGGTGCCATGGTGCCTGTGCTGTACTCTGATGCTCTAGTCTACGACTGGCTGGTTGCCATGGTGTCTGTCCTGTACTGTGATGTTCTAGTCAATGATTTGCTGTTGCCACGCCCTCCTCACCTCTCTCATGAGCCATTCCCTCCCATCTTTTTGATGGTGCCACACCTTCCCTAAACTATCTGATAATGCCATGACACCCTCCAAATCTCTGATGCTCCTCCCATCTCTTTGATAGTTCCATGTGTCTCCCTGGCTGTGCCCTCCCCACCTGCTTCAGTCTGCCCTGTCAATGTTGATTGTTTCTAGCTCTTGGCTGGTCTAATTGAAGTCAGATCTTTTGCTCAGTTACAACTCATGTGACAACCTCAGGTTATCCCTGTATATAAGTTTGTCCAGTCAGTGTAAGTGGAGCACCCATGAGCACAGATACCATGGATACAGATACCATGGCCCTCAGAAATGACCTGGTGTTTAAAGTGGTAACAATATAGTGATGTAATGGTGCAGCCTTTAATAGTTACATTCAGAGCCGGTCGTACAACTTTGTACAGTAGTCTGATACTCATCCGAATATGTATCAGAATTAATAAGTCTTAGTTACTTATTAAGAAGTTTACACTGTTGGTTTTCTGAGGTCATCTGATCCTGTTGTATCCGAGTACAAGATCTGAATTTAATGATACTGAATTTTGTGGGCCTTGACTTCACTGTCAAAGGGGCCATCTTGTTTTCTTTGAAAATTGTTTTGCCCATGTTGAAACATTCCATAGATGATGTTTTGAAGGCTTGGTGGCCCAGTCATCATAGTACCACAATCTATGTCAAATTGTGTCAAAATGTCCCTTCCTGCCATTCTGGGTTTGAATCCTGGTTTGCCAGTGTATTGGGGTTTGTCAGTACCAGACCTGTGCCTGTGGGTAGCACCAAAATGGTAAAGATCTGAGACCAGCATCCCTTCAGGATTTCTTACCACATGAAGCTGACATGCCGAGATGTAACTGGGAGACTGTTTAAACAGCATGATACCCAACTCACTCAAAATGTTTGTGTTTATGTAACATGTCAGTGTGTCCTGACCCAACTAGTAATTATGTCCTGTGGTTGACCTTCTGCTAACAACTTAATCATGTCTATTTGTTGAAATATCTGTTTCATAATGCTGATGTTGCTGGTGTATGTTAATGTTCATGTTATCCATGGTTTATGTAACAATTATCATGGGGATGACCGTATCCTATATCACGAGTCCTCTCACACCTTGACTGGTTTATGTAAGAATTATCATGGGGATGACCGTATCCTATATCACGAGTCCTCTCACACCTTGACTGGTTTATGTAACAATTATCATGGGGATGACCGTATCCTATATCACGAGTCCTCTCACACCTTGACTGGTTTATGTAACAATTATCATGGGGATGACCGTATCCTATATCACGAGTCCTCTCACACCTTGACTGGTTTATGTAACAATTATCATGGGGATGACCGTATCCTATATCACGAGTCCTCTCACACCTTGACTGGTTTATGTAACAATTATCATGGGGATGACCGTATCCTATATCACGAGTCCTCTCACACCTTGACTGGTTTATGTAACAATTATCATGGGGATGACCGTATCCTATATCACGAGTCCTCTCACACCTTGACTGGTTTATGTAACAATTATCATGGGGATGACCGTATCCTATATCACGAGTCCTCTCACACCTTACCACAAATCTAGCTGAGCACTACAGTGCTGTTGTGCTGTTAATCCTGCCTTTAATACCATGGATAGGTTTACTGATACAGCGAGCCAGTCGGTGACCTTGGCAGTACGGCCTGATAAACATGGAGGGCAGGTCAGGGAGCTGGTGGTACCTAAGGTCCATACATCGCTCCAATGCTGATGCAGTAAAACAGCTAATGTGTTATAATCTCAGAATTATTCTCAAAATGTCATTATTTAATGTCACATTTTGTATTATACATACTAATATCTTTGTTTGGGATTGTATATTGGGTTCACGTTTCTATGTTCAGTGACTTGTTAACTTATTCAGAAGCTGAGTTGATACAGATACAAACTCATTCATACCCTGACTTAGTGTTTGGTGATGGACGGATGCCTGTTTAACATCAGTATTAATAAACTATGTATGGAGTTTGTTTATTAATGTGGTTTCTACTTGTGGGTGTTTCAGACCATCGTCCAGGTCAGTTAACCAGAACAGTCACTGTCTTTACACCACAGAGTGCTGTCAACTCACCTAACATCGCTATGATCACATGTCACACACGTGTGTCAGTCCATTGCACTCACCACTCTCTCTGTCGTTATTAAGTAACTCACCTTCAGGAACATGGGTTTAATCAGTGTCGTAACTCACCTTCAGGAACATGGGTTAAATCAGCAATACTAAAGACATCTTGGCCCCCATGACCCAAACTTTTATGGTATTGTATCTCACCCTCAGGAACATGGGTTTAGTCAGCAATTCAAAAGATCATTGCCCCCCATCCTATTGTACTGACATTCAGGAAATCTTGAGTTCTTGTGATCTGCTATTGTCCCAATGATCAGCTATGCTCCCCAGGATCAGCTATTGTCCCAGTGATCAGCTATGCTCCCCAGGATCAGCTATTGTCCCCATGATCAGCTGTGCTCCTTCAGGATCAGCTATTGTCCCTAAGATCAGCTATGCTCCCCATGATCATCTATTGACACCATGATCAGCTATGCTCCCCAGGATCAGCTATTGTCCCTAAGATCAGCTATGCTCCCCATGATCATCTATTGACACCATGATCAGCTATGCTCCTTCAGGATCAGCTAGGATCAGCTCAGCTATGCTCCCCAGGATCAGCTGTTGTTCCTCCTATGATCAGCTATATGCCCCCAGGATCAGCTGTTGTTCCTAAGATCAGCTATGCTCCCCAGGAGGATCAGCTCCCCATTGACCCTCCCCAGGATCAGATCATCTAGCTATGCTCCCCCCCAGGATCAGCTGTTGTTCCTAAGATCAGCTAAGATGCTCCCCAGGATCGTCCCAGTCTATTGTCCCAATGATCCTATGCATGATCAGCTATTGTCCCTAGCAATGCTCCTTCAGGATCACCTATGCAGTCCCAGCTAAGATCTGCTTTTCTTCCAAGGATCAGCTTTTCTTAATATGATCATCTGTTCTTTCCAAGATGTGCTATTCTAACTTGGATCAGCTATTCTCCCCAGATAAGGACAAAACTTAATGGATGAACAACTCCGTTATTCTGGACGATGCGACGTTGATGCAGTTGTTGATCCATAAAGTTTTGTCCTTATCTGATTCTGCAACTTCAAACATGCCATTCAAAGAAGTTATTCTCCCAGGGATAAGATACTCATTAAGATCAGTTATTCTGCCCAGCATCATTAGCTATGGTCCCTAAGATCAGCTGTTCTCCCCGTTCTAATACATGTATTTGGTCTGCCAGCAGCATACTGGTGCTAGTGGTTTTCAACCCTCAAGGGCATTTTTAGTGACCTTTGCTTCAAGAGCTTTATGTTGTGATATAAACCGTTAGTATTCAGTGTCATGGCCTTGCCCTTTGGAAGTCAATGTCGTGACCTTTCATTTTGGGGTTTAATATGGCAACCTTGCCTTTTGGGGTTTAATCTAGCGATCTTGTCCTCTGTGTTTTTGCATGAAGTAACCTCATCTAACTACTGAAGGTTGCTGTAGCTGCTCTTAGGTAATAGTCAAAGCCTGTGTTAGAGGTCCATTCTGGCCTCATTTCCTTAGCATAACCATGTTCTTGAAACAGAGTGAGTTCTTTTTGGTCAAGAATTATCACAACTTTTAATCTTTTCTCTTAACATTCACCATTCTAACAAATCTTTGATTTTTCACCTCAACAGCCCTAAAACTTCTGTCCGTGCTCACTGGTATGATCTTGTCTTGACCCACACCCTTACTGTCATGTGGCATGTTTTTCTCACTATCATCACCGAGCACGCTGACTGTCATGCAGCATGACCTTCACTGTTGCTAACAAGCAGGCTGTTGATGTAGCATGACCTCCCTTGCTGTTGTCAATTAGCAGGTTGTGATGTAGCATGACCCCCTCGCTGTTGTCAATTTATTAGGCTGTGATGTAGCATGATCCCCTCGCTGCTGTCAATTTATTAGGCTGTGATGTTGCAAGATCCCCCTTGCTGTTGTCAATGAGCAGGCTGTGATGTTGGAAGATCCCCCTCGCTGTTGTCAATTAGCAGGCTGTGATGTTGCAAGTTCCCATTAGCTGTTGTCAATTAGCAGGCTGTGATGTAGCATCACCCCCTCGCTGTTGTCAATTAACAGGCTGTGATGTTGCAAGATCCCCCTAGCTGTTGTCAATTAGCAGGCTGTGATGTAGCATGACCCCCTCGCTGTTGTCAATCAGCAGGCTGTGATGTTGCAAGTTCCCATTAACTGTTGTCAATGAGCAGGCTGTTGATGTTGCATGACCCCCTCGCTGTTGTCAATGAGCAGGCTGTTGATGTTGCAAGACCCCCTCGCTGTTGTCAAATAGCAGGCTGTGATGTAGCATGACCCCCTCGCTGTTGTCATTGAGCAGGCTGTGATGTAGCATGACCCCCTCGCTGTTGTCAATGAGCAGGCTGTGATGTAGCATGACCCCTCGCTGTTGTCAATGAGCAGGCTGTTGATGTAGCATGACCCCTCGCTGTTGTCAAATGAGCAAGCTGTTGATGTAGCATGACCCCTGGCTGTTGTCAATGAGCAGGCTGTGATGTAGCATGACCCCTCGCTGTTGTCAATGAGCAGGCTGTTGATGTAGCATAACCCCCTGCTGTTGTCAATGAGCAGGCTGTGATGTAGCATGACCCCTCGCTGTTGTCAATGAGCAGGCTGTGATGTAGCATGACCCCTCGCTGTTGTCAATGAGCAGGCTGTTGATGTAGCATGACCCCCTCGCTGTTGTCAATGAGCAGGCTGTGATATAGCATGACCCCATCGCTGTTGTCAAATAGCAGGCTGTTGATGTTGCAAGACCCCCTCGCTGTTGTCAATGAGCAGGCTGTGATGTAGCATGACCCCCTCGCTGTTGTCAATGAGCAGGCTGTGATGTAGCATGACCCCCTCGCTGTTGTCAATGAGCAGGCTGTGATGTAGCATGACCCCCTCGCTGTTGTCAATGAGCAGGCTGTGATATAGCATGACCCCCTCGCTGTTGTCAAATAGCAGGCTGTTGATGTTGCAAGACCCCCTCGCTGTTGTCAATGAGCAGGCTGTGATGTAGCATGACCATCTTGCTGTTATCAATTAGCAGGCTGTTGATGCTGCATGCCCCCTCGCTGTTGTCAATGAGCAGGCTGTGATGTAGCAAGACCGGCTCAGCACACCTGTCTGTTGTCAGTGAGCATGCTTGTCTGTTTCAGCACACCTGTCATTCAGCTATATTCAGGATACCACGGTTAAATTGTTCACAATATCCACCCCTGTCATCTCAGCACACCAGTGGATGCATGCGTCCATGTTCACCAACGTTTTTCCATGATGGACAATTATTTTCTTTTGTACTAATGTTGTGTCAACAGACTAACTTATTTCTCATATTTCTCATACATCAATGGTGTTTGTGAAGTTTGTGCTGTACTATACTGTTATTGTTGCCATATCTGGTGACAATTTGTGCTTGCCTGTTATTGTCAACAATGTGCTTGCTTCATTTCATCAACAATGTGCTTGTCAATTCTGTCAAAATGTGTAGTTCCATATTGTCAACACTGTGTACACCCATTTTATATTTTTATAAAAACAATTACCCTGGACTAATCAGTGCAATCATTTGGAGTCTAGCTGAAGCAGTAAACGGTGCCTTCCAGTCCAAGTGCATGCACGCTTTTTACATGATTGCAACAAGTTTTTATGTGACAAGCCATGTTTCATGACCTCAACCAATATAACTGGAAAAACCTGCAGCACAGGAACTGCCTGTGAAAAATCTCTGAAATATAACTAGTGCTCAGGAACCAGGTACTGAGTTCTTCTTTCACTACACATCACTCCTGTGTCAGTGTTACTGTTATCACTTTATGTTTTAATTGAATACTTCATCTAGTTCATAACATTTACTCTGCACTGACCTTTCTGTTCCAGTTCAATTCACCATTACTCACACACCAACATCATGTTATGTTTTCAGCTATGTTAAATTTTGTTCAATGACACTATGATGTATTTGCTATATATTGTTAAACTAGAGTTTTAATGTTGCAGTGAATGTAAATATGCAACATACTGTTGTCTTGCTGTTGATATAGAGTATAACATCTCATACTTTCTAGTTAAGTATTTTCAATGGTAATGTCTTCATCCAGATCTCTTTCCAATTCTTCTTTAATTAATAAGAATGAAAATATAATGTTGAAGTAAAATGGAAACGTGATACAAGACTGACTATTTGACAGTGTGTTCTGCTCACTTGTTTGAAATCCCTATGTGTATTGATGTTTATCGTGTCACTACCGGGTACCCACCAACAGCTATGTACATGTATGTTGTACAGCCTCTATAGCAGCTGATGCAGGGAAGAGTGTGGGGAAGACAAAGGACAAGAAGAACAAGAAACCCACACCACAGGAGCAGGAGGTAAGTAGTTTATCTCTACAGAAGTGAATCAGCAAAATTTCATGCCAATTTTATCAATATTTCAGCAATATCACAGTGGGAGGGCACCAGAATTGGACTTATCACATTGAAAAAAACGTCTTCAGTGGACTAATCGATAAACCATTGGTGGTTCCATCTTGGCATTGCAAGACCAACAGATGTCAAAAGATGGTACTTGATATTGCCTTGCCTGGCACAAGACTTGAAGGGATAAACTAAGGGTGTGTCTAGGTGTCTGTATCTGTATGTATCTGTATCAATATGTATCTGAGTGGAGTATCCATGGTTTTAAGTAGGCTAGCACGATAGAAGCGATGCTTGGCTGGTCTAGTACAAGCGCACGCGCGCACACACACACACACACACACTCACTATATAGGTGATATAATCTTGAGTGTAGCCCTGTTTCACCTCAGCACATGTGAAGAGATAATCTGACCCAGTATAATATCAAGATATCCAGGTGTGTTTTACCTATATTTGTAATCACCATTTAGCCCTGTACATGTTTGATATACCTGTGTGTCTTCCCATTTGGCAAATCTAAATGTCAAGCTTGATTTACAACATAAAACATGCATCCCTTCAACCTATGATCAACGAGGCAACCTAAGAGTGTTATGTCTTCTTACACCAAGTGCATGCAAAAACATTTTCAATTCATGTCTGACTAACCGTAGTTCTCCATACAACAGGGCGATGGAATAACATAGTGGTTAAAGCATATGATCGTCATGCCGAAGACCAGGGTTCGATTCCTCACATGGATACAATGTGTGGTGCCCATATCTGGTATCCTCCGCCGTGATATTGCTGGAATATTGCTAAAAGCGATGTAAAACTAAACTCACTCACTCACTCTCCATACAACATGGAGCTATGAGCACACTCAGATCCTCAAAGCTTTATGTAACGTTCACTGTTTTCTTTGTCACGCTTTTGTGGACTTTAGGTCATTAAATGTGCAAGATTTTTTAGTGAAAAATCATAACACTGATTATACTTATAAAGAGAAGATGAACCATTTTGCTGATAATTGCTGTTAATAACAATGCTGACAGGAATGGCAAGGTTGCAAGCTCCAAGTAGCATCAGTGAGTTACAATCTGGCCAAGATTTAGGACATTCTAACCAATAAATATTGGCACCCAAATTGAGTAAACGTGGTTTATATTATATATATGTAAATTTCACAATCTTAAAAAAATAGCATAACTAACAGTGGTGTTTAACATGGTCACTTCAATACACTCACAGTTAACTATGTTATAGCATATGATTGAAAAGTTCACGTCCTTTATTTATCAACTACCTGTGAAGATCTTCAGTATTCCATGCTTGTCTTAAGAGGCAACAAATGGGATTGGGTGGTCAGACTCGCTGACTTGGTTGACGTATGTCGTATCCCAATTGCACAGATTGGTGCTCATGCTGTTGATCACTGAATTATCTTGCACAGACTGGATTATTTACAGACTGCCACCATATAGCTGGAATATTGCTGAGTGTGGCGTAAAACAGGGCAAGTGACTTTAAGGAAAGTAACTTGTCCTGACTAATTTTCCACTTGCCCTGACATAATTATGATGATGGTATTATGAGAGAAGAAATCAACATGGTATTTGATGTTAATGTTTACTGGACTATTTATTGAAAAGTGATAAATAGCAAAGAAAGATAACATGACCTACGGCAGAGATCGTCCTCACGAGAAGTTGTGGTGCTGTATTCTAAAGGTGCTCTCTCTGCTTTATTATCATTGCGAAATGTAATTGCTACATTTTGAGCAGGTATGAAATTAAATCCAAGTTAATTTGCAGTTTGAAACCATTAGTGGAAATTATCTAGTAGCCCACGGACAAGTAAGATACCATTATTTGATTGCGAAATGAATACTGACTTGTCCCGGGCGTCGGGCGATGGGATTTTTGAACCCCTGTTATTTATCAACTAACTTAACACAAAATGGCAGCCACACCATTGGACATGCATGTTTAGAAGCTGATGGTTTTAGCACACAGAGCTACAGTCAAAGTTGGTCCTCTCAGTCGTTGTGTACAAAATCATAATGTTCAGTCTGATTTTATGATGTTGAAAATACACATGACCATATCTAATTTGAACATTTAGTTTACCGACCTACCAGGCTCCCTAGTCTGACTCCAAACACTGTGCTTCAGTTTCTCTGTTGTTCTTCCACAGCAGCCGGATGTCCCCGAGGTCATCAACCCTCTGATGGAGGTGGCGGACTACATGTCGGAGCTGAAGACGCTCATGGTGGCCGGCAACCGGGTCTTGTTGAACCTTAACCTGTCCAGTAAGTCGACTACATGCTTACATCACAGCTGGTGTTGATCATGTTAGACCAAGGTGTTGTATCTCAGTGGGCCAACACTATACAGCTGTCCAGTAAGTCGACTACATGCTTACATCACAGCTGGTGTTGACCGTGTTAGACCAAGGTGTGGTATCTCAGTGGGCCAACACTATACAGCTGTCCAATAAGTCGACTACATGCTTACATCACTGCTGGTGTTGACCGTGTTAGACCGAGGTGTGGTATCTCAGTGGGCCAACACTATACAGCTGTCCAGTAAGTCGACTACATGCTTACATCACAGCTGGTGTTGACCGTGTTAGACCAAGGTGTGGTATCTCAGTGGGCCAACACTATACAGCTGTCCAGTAAGTCGACTACATGCTTACATCACAGCTGGTGTTGACCGTGTTAGACCAAGGTGTGGTATCTCAGTGGGCCAACACTATACAGCTGTCCAGTAAGTCGACTACATGCTTACATCACAGCTGGTGTTGACCGTGTTAGACCAAGGTGTGGTATCTCAGTGGGCCAACACTATACAGCTGTCCAGTAAGTCGACTACATGCTTACATCACAGCTGGTGTTGACCGTGTTAGACTAAGGTGTGGTATCTCAGTGGGCCAACACTATACAGCTGTCCAGTAAGTCGACTACATGCTTACATCACAGCTGGTGTTGACCGTGTTAGACCAAGGTGTGGTATCTCAGTGGGCCAACACTATACAGCTGTCCAGTAAGTCGACTACATTCTTACATCACAGCTGGTGTTGACCGTGTTAGACCAAGATGTGGTATCTCAGTGGGCCAACACTATACAGCTGCCAATGTATAGCCCTCAACAGCTCTTCCTGGTGTCGTGTGTTGCAGCTGTGTGATTGTGATGTGTGTATAGTGTGTGGTTTGCTTGTGGAATGTGAGTAATATTTGAAGTATATGTGTAATGTGTGTGTGCAGAGTTTGTGTGTACTGTCCAGTGCCAAATTTTGGGTATGGGTGGCACCCCCATCATTTTCCAAATGTCTCTACAATAATAGTATACAATAATAGCGTGTTGATTTGTTGGTGTGACTTGCGCTTGGGTGGATTTTCACCCCTTGCCCTTATCCCTCTACCCACCACTACTGCAATAACAAATAATGCCAAATCCTAAAAATACTGGCTGAACATATGATGTGAATGTGTTGCAGGGAACCAGATCACGGAGGACGGTGTGATGGAGCTGATCAAGGCGGCGCAGTACCAGAAGACCCTGCTCATGGACAACAAGATTAATGGCACCGGTCTCATGAGGATCTGTCTGCATGTACGTCAGCTTCGACATTGATTCTTTGTTTCCTTGTTCCTTGTCTAATGTCACACGTGGCACCGGTCTCATGAGGATCTGTCTGCATGTACGTCAGCTTTAACATTGATACTTTGTTTCCTTGTTCCTTGTCTAATGTCACACTTGGCACCGGTCTCATGAGGATCTGTCTGTATGTACGTCAACTTCGACATTGATTCGTTGTTTCCTTGTTCCTTGTCTAATGTCACACTCAGCAAAATTCCATCTATTTAGGGTTCGCTCATCACGCTGAAGTCAGGTTGGATTCCCCACTTATTCACTCACTCACTCCATCTATTTGACAACAACCTGTATGCTATCAGATCTCGATTAGACTGTCCAGTGATTGATGTAATGAGCATTACTCAACGCCATCCAATATATCACCAAGTCACCACTCATTACGCCGCCTCATGGCATAGCCCAGAGGTTTAAGTGTTCCCTGGTAACGCTGAGGACCCTGGTTCGATTTCCCACACAGGTACAATGTTTGAAGCCCATTTCTGGTGTTTCTTGCTGTAGTGTAGCTGGATATTGCCAAAAATGGGGTGAACCCGTGCTCTTTGAAATTTCAGAGGATATTGAATTGTGTTGTTTGTTCTTCTGGGATCTGTCAGGTAATAGGGTTATCATCAGTTAGTTTCTTTTGTAGAAGAACAAACAGGGTGAGTCATGTGGGGAGGCAGTGTGACAGGTAGGTCCAGGCTGAGTGTGAAGAGCTGAAGAAACTGAATGACATGATGGCAGCTAAACATCCGGGTTCTACAAACCTCCGGGGAGGCAGTGTGAGAGGTAGGTCACACCTGATGGGGAGGCAGTGTGAGAGGTAGGTCCAGGGTCAGTCGAATCTGATGGGGAGGGTGGTGAGGTAGGTCAGGGTCAGTCACACCTGATGGGGAGGCAGTGTGAGGTAGGTCCAGGGTCAGGATGTCAGTGTGAGAGGTAGGTCAGGGTCAGTCACTGATGGGGAGGCAGTGTGAGAAGTAGGTCCAGGGTCAGACAGGTAGGCCCAGGGTCAGTCACACCTCTGATGGGGTCCAGGCAGTGTGGCAGTAAGGTCCAGGTCACAGTCACATCTGATGGGGAGGCAGTGTGAGGTAGGTCCAGGGTCAGTCACACCCATGGGGCAGCAGTGAGAGAGTAGGGAGTCACACCTGCAGTGTGAGAGAGTAGGTCCAGGGTCAGTCACATCTGATGGGGAGGCAGTGTGAGAGGTAGGTCCAGGGTCAGTCAGATGGGGAGGCAGTGTGAGCCCAGGGTCAGGGTCAGTCACACCTGATGGGGAGGCAGTGTGAGAGTAGGTCCAGGGTCAGTCACATCTGATGGGGGAGGCAGGAGGGAGGCAGTGTAGGTCAGTGTGACAGGTGAGAGGTCAGGGTCAGTCACACCTGATGGGGAGGCAGTGTGAGAGGTAGGTCAGGGTCAGTCACACCTGATGGGGGGCAGGCAGTGTGAGAGGTAGGTCTAGAGTCAGTCACATCTGGAGCATTTTAGTGTGTTGTTTTGTAAGTTACAAGTCTCCCAAGCATCCAAAGGGTCGTGAAAGTGCTGTTTTGTGTTAAATATTGTTTTTGGTTGAGTTTCCATCGGTATTGTTTTGGGAACATAATTCTAAAATTACTGGAACAATCTTCACCAAATTTGATATACTGCATCTCCACATCATCTAGATGGGCCTTTTTGTCGTTTGAGTGTTTTAAAATTTTTATTATTTTCTGTTTCCATGGCAACAATTTGGTCTTTGTCTATTTGAAGGGTAAAGTTCATTTCCAGAGCAAAATTCTGAAACTAATTGACCCATCTTCACCAAAGTTGGTATACTGCCTCTCCATATCATGTAGATGTGCCTTTGGGGGTTTGAACCTTTATTTCAGCTGTATTTTTTTCTGTTTCAAGGCAACAAATTTGGACTTGGTGTTTTTGAAGGATAGGGTTTGTGTTCGGAGCTTAACTCTAAAACCACTTCACCCATCTTCAACCAAATTTTGTATGCTTAATACCAATACCAATTATTAGTGAGCTTAGAAGTATCAACCACATACATATACATGTACTACTATAAAACATGTATGATATGTATTTTCATACTTAGATATTTTGAAATTGAAGGGATCAAATGAATTGTTTGAGGTCTCAACGTTGAATTAGGGAAGGGAGTAAAACACTTTCGTTTTTAAGTTTTCATTATGACAAGTTGGAATTAAGGGTATTGCTCTATTCTCGATTATAACTCCACAACTCTTGAATATTTCTAGATTAAACAAGGTGTACAGATCAGTCACAATAGGGCTTTTTCAATGTGTTGCATGTATTTTTCATGTTTTCATGATGTCAAGTTAATTTAAAATAATACTATAAAATGAAAATATTATTGTTTCGAAAACTATTTATAATACAAGATGGAAGAGATCAGACTAGTGGTGAAGTGGTGCTTTTCTATGATTTGATGATACGAAACAGCAATATTTTTTAATTCACTTAACTGTCAAGGGTATCGTATCCAGAGGCAATGGGGTGAGTGAGTGAGTTGACTTTAATGGTTTATCAGCTTTATCTGTCATATAGTACCTCTTTTGGCAATGAACCAAAAGAGGGGTACGAGAAGCCAAACTCCAGCTCAAAATTACAAGAGATTGGGAGGATATGTCATCTCCTTATGATGGCTGGAAGTTTTAGAAACAACATTGGGAGTTGTTCGAGTTTCTCTCTGATGTGACTGTTGCAGCAAGGCCTGGGGAACATCTCCTCACATGTTGCATGTTATGCTCTTTTACGCAACTATAATATATCTTCTTTCTTTTGCAGGTGTCAAAATTTAAGCAAAATGGATCGACACTTGTAACAACACAAATTCTGACTGAGGACATCAAAATACCAAAAATGCTGCTTTATGGCTTTTTGATCGAGGGAGCTTGAAACGGAACCTTACCACGATGATGCTGATGTATTTGCATGTTTTATAGTAAAACAGTGTGTGTGTGTTCAGAACTCATGCTGTGATGGTATAATTGTGATATAGAAAATGTAAATATTCTCAAAATGATAATAAACCTGTTTGCCTTTACATATTGTGTAAATGTTCATGACTTTGAGGGCAACAGGAATAAGGCCTGACCTCCCCCCGACCAAGTTGTATGCTTCTCTCGAGGGTAATATGGTCTGATAAAAACCTGTCGACGAAGGACAGCAAAACAACTAGACGATCACAGCTAGGGAATTAAAACTAGCAAGTAACATTTAACGTTTAAAATAAATTACGCTTTACTGGATACAAGAAGAGATCCCTCCCTGCCCACAGATTTCAACTATCTGGATTAGATTTTGACGCTGTACTCCAAGAAATGAGTAATTGGAATTGATAGATAAATCTATAAATTAGACAAAAATCATGAAATACATGCGAATTCTGATGTCAGAAATAAAAAATCTGAAATGAACCAATGAAATTCCTTCACGTAACACTATCAAGTTACCTTTTCTCCTATAGCAGTAGCTGTACATTGCGGAGACTTAGTAGCCAGTGTGTACAACAAGCTTAGTAGCTAGTGTGTACAACGAGCTTAGTAGCCAGTGTGTACAACGAGCTTAGTAGTGTATAACGAGCTTACTAGTGTGTACAACGAGCTTAGTAGCCAGTGTGTACAACGAGCTTAGTAGCCAGTGTGTACAACGAGCTTAGTAGCCAGTGTGTACAACGAGCAAGGGAAGTGCAGGCCAATACTATGAAGTAAAACAGGCGCTGATCTCATGCACATCCAATAATCATTCGTAGTATTATACATTTTAGTGTAGATTTGAAAATACTATGAATAAGATGTATGAATTGGAAACGGTAACGTGCTGAATGTTTAACTCCAATTCTCAGAGAGAATGCCCAATTGGAAACACGCGAATTGTAAAACATATATCGACAGCTTTGGCGACACCAAGAATGACTAAATTGTTACACGTTTTGATTGCTACAAACAAAATAGCCATTTTAAGGAAATTTCTACTAATTTTACCAGTTTACTAGGTAGTACTGGGTGCGTATTTGACTTCATGTTTATTCGTCTGCTAAACAAATACAAATCAAAAACGACATAAAAAAAAATGACTGCGCATTCTCTCTGAGCATTGGTTTTAAGTCGTTTCATTGCTTTATGTATCATGACATACAGCGTTACTATTTTTGCCGCCTCCTTTCTAATGTCTTGGCATTCTGTCAAGAACATCTACGTCACACATGTATTCTGATGCCAGTCTGATAAAACCTACCTGTATTCTTGCCAAGTGTGATCCACTTAACACGCCAACATCTGACGCATCAGTGATAAAAAATGCAATCTGAAGCAATCTGCTCTCTTGACTTGTCTCAGAAGTTCCCGATGTTGTTGTTTTTCAACAGAACAACAGTTTCTGACTTTCTGACGTGTTTATAGTGAATGCCACCGGTTGGGCAGGTTGCACTCACCGTCTCCTGAACACCTGTGGCCGTATGCATATGTCGGGCGTAAATTCTAATCCGGGCGTAAGTAAAATGTGCGCCCGGACGTAACGTTAAACCTGTATGCACATATTAGACGTAGTTTAAGTTACGCCAGTCGTAGCGCTCTATATTTACGCCACCTACCCAGCAGGCGTAAGCCAGGCGTAGCCTTGTAAGGGTGGCACTGGATGCCGAGTTTTTTTTCAGGCGCACATTTTCAAAAGGTTTGAAAAGTGAACGTTGTGCGAGAATTGCTCTCGCGTGGTCCTGGATCAGCGTACGGCTATAAAATTACGCAGAAATGTAGAATATTTAATTTCCAATCCGTTGGTATAAATATAAGTGCGACTACCTGGGCGGTTTTAGAAATAGTCACTGCTAAATGTTGTCCAAAATTTTGTTACCCGTTAAAAAACTGTCAATTTCTTAGCTTTTTGTCGTGCACCGATAAAAGCGCTCTGCTAAGATTTTTTTAATTTGGCATCTTTACAGAAAGTGTGAGCGAAGAAAATACAGACTGATATCTGAACGACATAAGTGTATATGAATTGGGTTTATGTGCTAATATGGCATTGAACAAGGCTAAATGTATATTCTAAAATTAATTTGATGAAAAAATATCTGAACGATATGCAAAATGTACATCATAATACTGAAAGTGTAATCAGAAGGATAGGGCGATTGTGTTTACTCTTGTTCAACCGACCTTCACCTCAAAGAAATGGCCTAACATGTACAACAATGTTGACGTATGACATCACTACCGCCGACCGATTTCTTATAAAATGGCGGCCTCGCTGACATGGGTACACAGGATTTTGCGACGACCCTTTCCTTGATTCAGGGATCGTTTGTACATAAATATGATATGTAAGTAATCAGAATGATTCTGACTATATGTGTATTGTTATATGTTTTATTGTTTTCATTGTAAGTAAGAGAAGAAGCCATGCTAATAATTACCTTTGTCGTTCTGCCGTAATCATTAAAACCCTATATCAGTGATCATTAATATGCTATTTTTTGAAATTCAAAACTTCTGAATAGTAATTATCCGATTTGAACATTTCAAAACATACACCAAATAACGCTGTGAATCGTGATTTTATAATGTGTCAAAATTGGCGACATTTATGATGAAGCCTATTTTGAAAGTCCATGTTATTTCTCCATTATGAACCATCGGTTTTCATTGGCTTTCCATGATTACGGCTGCAACGGATGTACCGCGCCTTTTACCGGTGGTTTAAAAACGTTCGAAAATCTAAAAATAGCACACTGCTCCTCGACGTAAATCCGTTAAGTCGGGCGTAGTAACGCCTAGGCTTAACCGACGTTGTGCATGACGTGTAAGAGGAGGGCGCTGCTAAGCCCGACGTAGTGTGTTACGCCTGACGTTAGCTACGCCCGACATGCGCATACGGCCACAGGTCTCCTGTGTGGTTGTCTTGTTGTATTCCGACGTCGACAATGGCTCCGGTGCGAGTATTTCCATGCTGTACATAACATCTCCAGACATGATGCTGTATTTTGATGACCACACTACTAGGTCGGACAATATCTTCACCATTCCAGGGTGTCGTTGTACAGCACAACCTTAGCGCTATAAAGGCTACCTTAAGCCTATGTTAAGGTATGGGAGTTACGGTTACCTTAGCGCTAAGATCGCTTTCTACAACGGCACCCAGGGGCAACATACCCATGGTGCTTAGAACGTTGTTTGTAAGCAAGCCGTTGCTTTACTTAATCATCTTTTAGTGTTGAAGAGGACCTGATACCTAAACAATGACTACATTCACTTTACATGTATGTACTGTGATATAATACACAACAGTAACACATTGCACTTTAATGCAAAACCAGTGTTACCACCTAACCAAATTGTACAACATTCAAGATGAGTCGGTCGTCTTTCAACAGTATCGTTTTTCACAAAAACTAAAACGTTTATGCACTACATCTAGCTTGCCATCGGTGAATGTGCCGGCATTCTACGTTTGTTACATAATTCCAACATAAATCGTTAATACATGTCCAACCACTTCCACTCTTTCCACCTATCGACATGATCGATACCATATCCAAAATACGGCACGAAGAAAAATGCAATTGGCAGTTTTCATTCTGTTTGAAATTCGGTTTTCTATCACATCATCTGCTCACTGTAAGGCAAATATACTGCATCGTAATTCTGGCCAGTTTTGACACATTACGAAATACACACAGTTAACGTCAAAGTGAATTTTCAGCCGTATTGCAGAGTGTTTATAAAATCACGTCACACGTACTCTTACACGAATCCCTGAATCCCCCATACAGTTCAAAATAAAATGACAAATGGTATTTGTCACTAATATCAAGTGTTTCAGTGAAATCTAACGAAATATATCAGATGCCGCGCTGGGAAAGGACCACGTCGTTTGAAATGTAAACAAAGTCGAATTCTGATTTCACTCTGTGTATCTGTTCGCCTACTTTTGTTGCATACACTTGTTCACTAGTTTTAGACCATGTACGGGAAAGGTATTGTAGCAAGCGCTGGTTAAATAAAATAGGTGTATTCAAATGATTTCCGAGATTCATCACAACATATATAGTTTCTGAAAGCGTGACGCCATGACTGATGAAAAATTCACGCACGGCGACGATGGAAGTTCTCCTCATTTCTGACTGTTTTCCTTGGTCACAATGAAAACAAAAAGAAAATATGAACCAGCAGATTGTCAGAATGTTACGGACTACTTACATGTCATATTTATGTATACACGTTGCTTGAAAGAACGAAATTTCCCGTCGAAAAATCCGGCGTACTCGTGTCAGTGAACACGCCATTTTGAGAATGTCGCTTCTCGATAGTGATGTCATACGCACGTGAACATTGTTACACATATCTGGTCTTTTCATTGACGTGAGGCTATGAATGAAAATACACACGAGCAATCTTTTGATTTGGGATTAGACAGGATCAAAGGGCTGTAACTCTGGCCTGTTTAGCTCGGCAAACAAGGACCGCATGATGGCATAACATTTCAGCACTTATTTTGAGGGACGATATACTTTCATTGTAAGAAAAAAGAGTGTATAATTTCAAACATTGATATCAAATATTGAAAATATTTCATTTTGCTTCACATAAGAATAAATGTGATTTTATCGTGTACACTTCCCCTTTAAGATATACGATAAATCCTGTAAAGTAACACGTGACTTATATCCTGTAATGTGAGTGAGTGAGTGAGTGGGTGAGTGATGATCGTTTTACGCCGCGTTTAGCAATATTCAAGCAATTATCACGACAAGGGACGCCAGAAGTGGGTTTTGAACATTGTACCCATGTGGGGAATCGAACCTGAGTCTACAGCGTGACGAGGAGAAGCTTTAACCATTTGGCTACCCTACAAACCTCTGTAATGTTATGCACGATACATATCCTGTACAGTAATACATAAAGGACCCTGTTATGTATTTTCAATAAAAGTAGGAGGTGTTTTATTTGGGGTTCATCTACAGGAACATGCACCATTATCTATTTAGTTATGCTGATTCTCATCCGGCATTCCAACCCACACTCTCAGAGTCTGGCACCTAATCGCCAGCACACAAAGTCAGCCATCTAACTCATTCAGCTACCGCGGCTTCCAGAACAGTGAAAGTCGGACTTCGTCGGACAACGGACTTTGTGCACCCTCTGATAAGTGATAATTGGCACGACTCTCACGTCCGAAAGCTATGAATACCCCTTTGTGGACTCAACCCAACAAATGTACTAGAATCTGTACTTCCCTGACACAGTGTAATCCCAGCTATAACGCTTTTAGCAGAGATTTCTGATGAATGTGTAAAGGGTTTTGTCGCCGCTTCTATTTACAATATATTTGATGTTACTTTAACAGTGACAATACACAGAACAGTCTTGTACCTACAGAGTACTTGACACTGGATATCCATTTCAATATTCTCAGGTAGGTATCGCCATGTCGGTTGTTATGGTGCCACGTGTACGCACACTACTGGTGGAGCATGTGTTTCCCCGAGCTGGCATTCTGTCAAACACTTGAGTCGGGCTATAGTACCACGTTTACCCGGCGGCGAGGCAGTCGTCCTCATAGCTGCGCGCTACACAGTACAAGTGCACAATGGAGGTATCAACTATTATATTCATCAGTCTCGTGCTCTGCGGTGTCAAAGACGTACAGGCTGATGCCAGTTTGTCCGAGTTGGATACACGGGTTGGCCAGGTTGAAAGAGATATTGATGCATGGAAACGCACAACTGGTGGTAATCAGATTAGAATGATTAAGGACTTTAAAAAGTTTGAGTCGTCACTAAAAGAAGAACCTGACCGGAACATTCGTCCCGACCCTGATAAGGCGTCTAGTCAACCAAGCAATAACTGACATCCTGACAGAAGAGTATATTAGCAATATCATCAGCCCACGTGTTCTCCATGAAGTTGACAGCCTGAAAGCTGACTTCATGACGCTGAATACAAGCTCTGTGATGATGAGAAATGAGGTTGAAACGTGCATGGATGGACTACAGAAAATCCAGCTGAAGTTACCCACAGATATTCAGAGTTTAACCTCTCAACTGAACCAGACCAAAGAAGATCTGCTTGATACAAAGGAAGTAATCAGTCGACTTACAGAGGACTTTATTACGCTGAATACAAGCTCTGTGAAGACGAGAAACAAGGTTGAATCGTGTATGGATGACCTACAGGAAATCCAGCTGAAGTTACCCACAGATATTCAGAGTTTAACCTCTCAGCTGAACCAGACCAAAGAAGATTTGCTTGATACAAAGGAAGTAATCAATGGTCTCGAAGAGGACTTTATCACGCTGAATACAAGTTCTGTGAAGACGAGAAACAAGGTTGAATCGTGCATGGATGGCCTACAGGAAATCCAGCTGAAGTTACCCACAGATATTCAGAGTTTAACCTCTCAACTGAACCAGACCAAAGAAGATTTGCTTGATACAAAGGAAGTAATCAATGGTCTCGAAGAGGACTTTATCACGCTGAATACAAGTTCTGTGAAGACGAGAAACAAGGTTGAATCGTGTATGGATGACCTACAGGAAATCCAGCTGAAGTTACACACAGATATTCAGAGTTTAACCTCTCAACTGAACCAGACCAAAGAAGATTTGCTTGATACAAAGGAAGTAATCAATGGTCTCGAAGAGGACTTTATCACGCTGAATACAAGTTCTGTGAAGACGAGAAACAAGGTTGAATCGTGTATGGATGACCTACAGGAAATCCAGCTGAAGTTACCCACAGACATTCAGAGTTTAACCTCTCAACTGAACCAGACCAAAGAAGATCTGCTTGATACAAAGGAAGTAATCAGTCGACTTACAGAGGACTTTATTACGCTGAATACAAGTTGTGGTATGAGGAAAGAGGTAAAACCGAGTGATGGAAATGAAGGTTCGTCATTGTCGCAGGTGTCACCTACGACTCCAACCACGACGTATCCTGGAAATACAACAGGTGAGACTGTTTGCAGAGAGTTGTCGCTTAATTAACGATCTATCTTGATAGTTCAACCGACAGATATGAGAATAATAAGTCCAGTATAGGGTTTACAAGGCATGTAAAGTTTGGGGTATGAACAAATGTTGGAACGGCAGGTAATATCAGCAGGTAATGTCAGCCCAGGGCTTACAAAGGCAGGCAACGTTGTTAGCAGGTAAAGCCTTACAAGGGTACAGGGCATGTAATGGGTCAGCAGCCCAGGGCTTACAAGGCATGTGAACGTTGGGTAAGCAACACAGGGCTTACAAGGCATGCCGTTGGGGGTAAAGCCTCCTGGGGCCTGGAAGCCGTGTAATCGCTGGGTTAATGGGTGATGCCAACACAGGGTTTATAATAAATATTGACATGTAGTATAAAGGTTTCCATGTGTCTTTTGTTCTTATTTTGTATCTAGGACAAAAAGAGAAAGTTCAGTTGCCTTGTAGCTGTATGTAACTTGATACAACATTAGGCCGCCTTTACACAGGGCGGCGACCGCTCTGCCTTCTCTCTGCGTTCTAACAATTACCAGGACGCACAACAGTCGCCAAACCTATGTTTCTGTGTAACTGCTCTGGCGTCCCTTGTGCCTTCCTTGTACGACCTAAGCTGCCAATTTTTGACATTTTAGTGGCGTTCTTTGAGCGGCCTTAGCGTCCTCAGCCTTCCTCTGCCTCTCCTCCTCCTGCCTCCCTCTCTGCCTCTGCCTCCCCTCTGCCTCCCCTCTGCCTCCCCTCTGCCTCCCCTCTGCCTCCCCTCTGCCTCCCTCTGCCTCCCCTCTGCCTCCCCTCTGCCTCCCTCTGCCGCTCTGCCTCTGCCTCCCTCTGCCTCCCCTCTGCCTCCCCTCTGCCTCCCCTCTGCCTCCCCTCTGCCTCCCCTCTGCCTTCCCCTCTGCCTCCCCTCTGCCTCCCTCTGCCTCCCCTCTGCCTCACCTCTGCCTCCCCCTCTGCCTCCCCTCTGCCTTCCCTCTGCCTCGCCTCTCCCTCCTCTGCCTCCCTCTGCCTCCCTCTGCCTCCCCTGCCTCCCCCTCTGCCTCCCCTCTGCCTCCCCTCTGCCTCCCTCTGCCTCTCCCTCTGCCTCTCCTCTGCCTTCCCTCTGCCTCCCTCTGCCTCCCCTCTGCCTTCCCTCTGCCTCCCCTCTGCCTCCCCTCTGCCTCCCTCTGCCTCTGCCTCCCCTCTGCCTCCTCTGCCTTCCCTCTCCTGCCTCCTCTGCCTCCCCTCTGCCTCTCCTCTGCCTCTCCTCTGCCTTCCCTCTGCCTTCCCTCTGCCTCTCCTCTGCCTCTCATCTGCCTCCCCTCTGCCTCGCCTCTGCCTTCTGTGTACCATCATATGCATATAACGGCGTCCGTTCAGCATGGCCTCTGCTGTCTCTGGCGACTGTTCAGCAACCGGCATACTCTAGGTGTATAAGTACCTGGCTACGACAGTTCATCATTAGTTTCATACGAGCAGGCTAAGTGGAATCATCGTATAACGACTTCAGTAAGCATGAACAATGAACTACGTTTGCAAATAGCTTGTTTGCAAGGTCAACAAGCATTGTTTTTCAACCAGATAGCCATTGCCATCATAAATAGAAGGATATATAGATGTAGAAGAAGAAGCTTGAGAACCCTGTGGGTCCGCCCTTGGTTGATGCAACACAGACGGTTGCAATTCTGGGACTACAACCAACTAATGCAAGAACTGCGTCTTGAAGATGAAGGGTCATTCTACAATTATCTGAGAATGGAGCCAGCCCTTTATGACGAACTCCTCCAATGGGTTGGCCCAAGAATCGCCAAACAGAACACGAATTGGCGAGCGACTTTAGAGCCAGGACCCGGTTGTATCAAACTTTAATGAAGCATTAACGTGCCATTACACGTTCATTAACTAATGTATCATTAAATTCTGTTGTACTGACGTTTTAATTATGCTCTGTTGTCATTAGTGCGTCATTAACTTAATGAAGGTCCTGGGGTATCATTAGAGCGTCATTAAACTTCCTGGAAAAGTGAAACATTGCGCCAGAATTTCTTTTGCGCCGCACTGGATCTACCTACAGCTATAAAATTACACAGAAATGTAGAGTATTAAATGTCGTATCTCATGGCATAAACTCAGTTTGAAAAGTAGACACTGCTGAATGTTACTCCTAATTTTGTTATGCGTTAAAAACAGTAAATTTCTCTGCTTTTTATCGTGCACTGATAAAAGTACTGTGCTACTATATTTTCAATTTGGCATCTTTACGGAAAGTGTGAGCGAACAAAATTCTGCCTGATACCTGAATGAAATAGGTATGTGTTAAATTAGTTTGTGTGCTTATGTATAACGTTATACACTCAATCTTAAAAGTGACTCGCAATATGTGTTGAAAATGGATTTTCCCCCATGACGTCAAATGGCTACATAAAGTTCACACGCTTATAAAGATAAGATGGCCTCACTCCGGTATGCTTCGTACTAAGTCATTGTAACTCAGATCACTTGGCGAGAATTTGCTGTGAATAAGGACACAATATTTTCGTGATGTTCTGTTCACGGAATTATCGAAAACAATGATACTAAAAACATTTCTGACAAACGCGCACCTGGCCAATGGTTATATGCCATTGTTTTGTCTATAACACAACATAAACAAATTCAATGAACAAGACATATCCTTTAAAAACGTGTGCATATATACATTTCATTATTTACTTAGGTTTAAAATACTAAATGTTGATAATGAAATTAGTTTCATGAAACCATATGTGAACGATACGCAAAGTATACATTATAGATAATACAAGTATAATCTGCAGGACAGTGTGATTGTGTTTACTCTTATTCAACCGACCTTCACCTCAAAGAAATTGCCACATATGTCCAACAATGTTGACGTATGATATCACTACCGATGACCGATTTCTCATGAAATGGCGGCTTCGTGGATATGTGTGCCCAGAATTTTGCTAGGGAACCTTGGTCCATAAATGTATGATGTAAGTAATCCGAAACATTCTGACTATCTGCGTATGGTTGTTTGTTTTTATTGTTTTCATTGAAAACGTCAGAACTGCCGATAATTGCCTATGTTGTTCTCCATGATTTTGCGTCTCGCATGGCGTCACGCTGCACAGAACTTTCGTGTAAATATATCAAATTTCAGTATTGTATCTGTTTTAAGTTTTCTAGTTCTTGCTACGATACTCTTTCCGTGCATATTCTAAAAATATTGAGCTCATGCATGCTACGAATAGACGAACTGATGTCTAAAAATTTTAGAAAATGCTGCACAGTATAAAATCTGATTTTTGCTTTGATTATATATTTCTAGCAAGCGCTGTGTAATGAGCACAACGTCCCGTTTTCACACTTTATATGTTTCGTTTTTTCTTAGACACATGGTTATAGTGACAAAGACATTTGGAATTTGATTCTAAAATGTATGAGGAATTCAGCAATGCATTTGTCACAACTGAATATGAAATATACATGATGTAATAGGCGTCCTATGACTGGCCTTAGCGAAACTTGATTTTGTAAACACTATCCAATATGGCGGAAAGCTCACTTCGGCGTTCGTGTTCGTGTATATTCCAAAACATCCGAACCGATTCTAGGTTTATCGGCGACTTTTCAGAATTATTTAGACGTGTTTCTTCACAGCAGTCGAAATGTCAAAGTAAAAGTTAACCTCCTTATTTTCACATCTGTGCATGACACCGATATCGCATTTTGCTGTCAAAGAACATGATCTGATGATGATAGCAGTTGAATTTAACCTCATCACGGTACTTAAATCAATCAAAATATATCATAACAATCCGTATGAAAAATGTGCTCGCTCAGCAACAACCCGGAAAATGCCATGTAACAATCAGGTGTATCTAAAATGCACCCCTCTCATCGGAAAACATGTATTTACGCATTAACCAATGACAGTATTTCATTTATGTTTGACTTATCATTTAATGGAATGATTTTTGCAAATCTAAGTATGTACAACTTTAATTAAGATTATTTGAACAGAAAATAAGTGTGGCTTTACTAAGTCAAGAAAAGATTTAAGAGGTACAATTTTGAAAGTTTACAATGCTTTCCTTGCTTTCCAATCCATTACAAGGATTCATATCCTAGAAAATGCATATTTTCATGGAATGATTATCTGTGAATCTAAACACATCACTTGGTAAGGTGAATTGTCAATACTTACAAAAAGAGACAAATCTGAAACACGCATGCTAATTGAAATCCCATAACGATCCGTTGCATTCCCCATAACACTCCGGAATTCCAGTAACAATCACGTCACCAACGGCGCGTATTACAGGGTGTGGACCTGACAAAATCGCCCTTTCATGATTAACGCCACACCAAGTGGTTCTCCAAGCATGGGGGAGGTTACCCCGGGGAGTTAGGCAGTGCAAGAATGCAAATTTGTGTATTTCGTTTTTGAATTACTTCACTAATTACCAAACTGCCTGATTGCAGAAGTTTATTTGTTTGACAACTTCTAAAACATATAACTGACAACTTCTAAAACATATCACTGCGTTAATATAATTACTATTGCCTGATGGCTAGATAAACGCTGCAGCTAGCATGTACAGATTACAGCCACAAACCGATGTTTTACTTTCATTTCCCAACAATCATGACATAAAATTAACAGGGAACTGACTAATATTCTGGATATTATGGATACGGTATCTAAACATAATATCTATTCCACACCTTGACTGAGTTGGGGAACACCTATCTACACTTAGCACAGCAGGCTCAGAATGAACAGGTTGTCTTTCAAGGTAGCATTTAGTTGTTTTACGCTCACTGTAAGTACGTAAATGGTTTTATTTGACAGAATGATCGCAGCTTACATACATAATTAACATTGTTATACAATTGTTGTCCAAACCATGTCATAGGTAATTTATTAATACAAAATCTGTTGTAATATGTTGCTTTCATCTGACGAAACCGGAGGGCAAACATGGGTCGGACAGAAATATTTCCATAGATCTACTGAGTTGTTACTCAGTACAAGCTGTCGAGCGCCAAACTTTCACGTACTCCTAACCTGACACGTCACAATGACGTAATAGCTGGCAGCTTTGGGGTCGTAGTGTCGGCAGTCAAGGCATTTCATAACTAGCAGTGAGATGTGTCGCTCGTGTTAGGACGTTATTGCAGGGTAAGTTCTAAGTTTCTGCTTTTAAACTGATTACGGAAATTGATGAAATAGTGTAAATGTGTATTGTACGACTCCTGAAAAGCAGTATGAAAGTTATAGGAAGCAAGTGCTTGCTTCACACAATGTTTACACCCAGACGTTTGTTTAGCCTGTCATCGGCGGGAATGAAGGAAGGTCTGGGTAAACAACGCAGCGTTTCACCTGATAGACTTGTTATATTTAATCAAATTATGTGCTCGTAAGTTTCGTCCTTTGAACTGATAACATTTACAACTGTCACGGAAGATTTTATGAGATTTTTTCAACTGCATTGCATTGAAATACATCCCCGCTACATAGCACACGGCCAATGTGTACATTGAAGGCCTGTAGCTCTAGCTTTGCTCTTTTAACACTGAAACCTTTATGTGGAACACATGCTTTTCTGCAACACTTTAAAAATATGCTATGGAATGTAGATTAAGGAAGGGAAAATGTGCTTTTTTCTCGTTATTTCTAACATTGACGGAGAATGTTAATCACTCGGACAACCGACATTTCGATATTTACCACCTCACACTGCCACGTGTTTGTACCCTTGTTGTTTATCAAAGCACATTGCAACAACAAGTACGGTTGTGTCAGCTACAGTTTCCGCCTCAGTTAACAGCCGTTTGAGAATTGTACTGCCGCCGTCGCTCGGTATGAGTGCTTGACAGACCTGCCAGAGTTCCCCTTAATTGACAGCATTCCAGTTAATGAGACATCAATAAAATCTAAATTTTGGTACAATTTATTGCAACAGAAATTAGTTAAGACATCACCTGAAGTTGCAAAAGACAAATTGAGACCTGTTATGAGATTACCACTAGAAAATAAATTTAAACAACTCCATTTGAAAATTTTACACACTGTTGTACCATGTAATATTTACTTTCATAAACTTAACATGAAGAATACTGCTAAGTGTGAGAAGTGTGATTTAACTGATACTCTTAATCATTACATGTTTTATTGTTCATCAGTCTTGCCTTTTTGGTTAAAGTTTATCGATTGGCAACAGAATAATTTTTATAGACATTTCAAACCACAAAGTTACAGAGAGAATGTATTGCTTGGATGTCAGGAAACAGATTATTTAGATAAAGCTAATATTATAAGTCTTAATTATGTCTTCACAGTGGCAAAATTTTATGTTTACAAGTGCAATGTGTCAAATACTATTCCAACACTCAAAGCTTTTAAAAGGGAATTTCTCAAACAGCTAGCAGTAATAAACCGTAGTTCTTATAAACATAAAATTATAATGTTAACCACTTTTGACTTTATGTTACAGTAAAAAAGCTTGTATTCAGTGTGTGTAGAACGAAGCTAGGTCTGTAAATGATCGTGGAGCCCTGACCACGTGGCATACGTAGATCGATATGTATCAGTCGTGGTCTTATGTCTGTGTTAATAAAGAGTGGAAAAAAACAAAAACAAAAAAGACAGAGTTTGCCTGACACTATCTTTAAACTGTGTTGCACAAACACCGAGTCAATTGCCATGCTGCCCTTCACACTGCGTGATAAACATGAAGAGGAATTATGACTGGGCATAAGTGCAGATGTTTTTGTTTGTTTATCTATTTTTTCTTTCAGTGTATTTATCTGAATAATCATGTATGTTTAAATACGAAGTCCACATAGAATATGATCGCCTCTAACCTAGCCCAACCCGGGGGGCGAACAGATTCTTTAGTTTCACCGTTCATGTTATTATTTCAAAAAAACCAAAACAATCTATTCATTACAACATTTCAACAAAGAGGGGCATCTCAGCTGTTAACACACAGTCAGTGCGCAGCTTACTACATTTTCAGATTCAAACTGTAAATTTAAATTTAAGAAGTGTTCCTTTTTTTCCTGCAGACACACGCGGTCTTGATGAACAGGTATCTCAATCAAATCAAACCCTATATTAATATTTAATACCTCTGCTATAAGAGATGTATTCTGAATTTATTCATACATAATATTGAAAGGCAAATCATTTGTGGGAAGCGAAAACTGAGACCATTAGTTATAATGCGTATGTGCTATGTACAGTTTTCTGACTAAAAGATTCCCTGTTTCAGCCTCCACTGACCCGAGCCTGAGCAACACGGCTTCACTAGCGCCAGTGACGACTCAACACTCTGATCTACACGGTAGGTTAGAAAACCCGGCAGGCAGGAAGCTCAGTCCTTAATTTTTCTTCCATTTAACAGGCTGATGTATATACCTGTGGAGATTCTGACTTGAGGGATGAGTCTCACCTGTAGTATCGATCGACGTTCATGTTGTCAGTCACAGGATTTCAAACTGTAAAAACTAAATTTAGGAAGGGTTAGTTTTTTTCCTGCATAGACACGCGGTCTCGATGAAGAGTTATCTAAATCAAGTTGAACCATATATATTTAAATACTTCTTCCATAAAAGATGTATTTAGAATTTAATCATACATAATATTGAATGGCACAACTTATGTGGAAAACTGAGGACAGTAGTAGAAATGCTTATGTGTTATATATAGTTTTCTGAACAACATATTCCCTGTTTCAGCCTCGACTGACCCGAGCCCGATCACCACGGTTCCACCAACGCCAGTGACGACACAAGACTCCGATCTACACGGTAGGTGGGAAAACCCAGCAGGCAACCTTATATCTTATTGCCCTAATAAATACCAAACAACATTTGTACTGACATTATCAACTTGTAAAGTTCAACAAACATCATCACTCTCCACACGTACACAAATATTGCTACAACTTCTGGTTCTAACAGAAAGTTCTGTATTAAACACACCATCCATAATTCCAGAAACCACATGTTGACATTCCCGCCATGTTGTATTGTTGTCAGCCATGATGGAATTGTTTAAACGATGCAGCAATGTCCGAGTCACGTATCACATGATGAAAACATTGTAGATGTGTGACAAAGATGTCTGATGTACACAGTTTACTTTGTGTTGCAGCGACTCCATCACCAGCAGCAGGCCGCCGCCTCTGCTCCGCCAGCGAGGACGGTGACCTGGAGAGAGTGAAGCGGATCCTGGCAGCGGGTCACGTGGACATCAACACGAGAGGAGGAGGCTACAGCCTGACACCGGTGATGATGGCAGCAGTGAGGGGACACAGAGATGTGGTGGAGTTCCTGGTGGGTAGAGGGGCTGATGTGTCGCTGGTGGACAGGTACGGTTACAACGTCCTTCACTGGGCCTCTCTGGGTGGAGACCTGGAGATCGTGAAGCTGATCGTGTCCAGGAACGTGCTGGACATCAACGCCAGGGACAACTACGGGCACACAGCGGTCTACTGGGCGAGACGCAGGGGACATCCGCGAGTGGTGGAGTTCCTGGTGTCACGTGGTGGACACTGAAGTCGGTGTCGGTGTGGACAGTGACGGTGCACATGTCGTTACTGACACTGACGAGGTGTGTGCCGTCCACGTTGTCGTGTGTCACGATTCAGGTGATTTCCTTTTACTTTGTGAATATAAATAAAACTTGTTGAAAGTATTTTCAGACATTTTGTCATTTGTTGTGTTTGGAACCTCGCGTGATCAGGTAAGAAAATTGTGAAGTGAGTGTAAACATGAACGGTGAGTGATTGTACGTAAACGTCGCCCGTCTTAACATAATTCTGTGTTAATTTTGTTCTGAGAATATCGCGAATTGTGAAACAGACAACAACAAACTGTTTGTTTACATGTCGCTGCACTCTGTGACCTCAGACTGAGTAGAGGTTCACCCCAGCTGACATGGCGCCATTTGTAGAGTGACAGTGACGTCACACTGCTGGTGACGTCACAGATATACACTGAGGTGCCCGGCCGTCCTCTCAGCGGCGCAATGCTGGCTTCATGCCATACAACATATTTGTCAAATACCATCGTGTGGTCGGGAAGGAAACGTTTGATTGTTTAACAAAGGAAGAATGGGCATTTGTAGCTGATTACTGCTGAAATTTAACCCTTTTAAGATTTAACACACAGTATACAACATCAAACACATAACAATCATCACCCAAATCATCTCAGCTTTATTAATTCAATGGATGCCAGGGAGACAATTATTTCCCCCACTTCTCTGTTTCTTGATGTAACATTGTTTTTTAGGCAAAGTACAATTGCTGATATGGCCGGTAAGAATTATATACTTCGTAAATCTCGCCATTTTTGACTAATGAAGCCATTCGCGGCATCGTTTACTGTATGTTGCAAATGTAAATATCGGATAATTACCCGTTGAACTGATTGTCTATTAGAGATCACTGGTATGTGGTCTTTTTGAACAAATCGCCAAAGGTTATTCTGAAACGTCGCCTTTAACCCTGAAATCGTTTGAACTGTCTCGGAAGTAAACACAAACGCCGAAGTGAGCTCTCCGTTATGTTTGATAGTGTTTACAGAATCATGTTTCACGTCACAAATATTTAATACCCAGCTGCAACGCACACACCCCTGAATTCCTCATGTATTTAAAATCAAATGCCTGATGGTCTTTGTTCAAATAGTGTTTTTGATATTAACCCCCTGGTTGCCGTTCAAATAATGTTGATGATATTAACCCCTGGATGCCGTTTAAAAAATGTTGATGATATTCACCCCTGGATGCCGTTCAAACAATGTTGATGGTATTAATCCCTGGATGCTGTTGAAATAATGTTGATATTAATCCCTGGATGCCGTTCAGATAGTGTTGATGATATTAACCCCAGGATGCCGTTCAAATACGTTTCATGATGCTAAACCCCTGGATGCCGTTCAAATAATGTTGATGATATTAACCCCCCAGGATGCCGTTCAAATAATGTTGATGGTATTAACCCCTGGATACCGTTCGAATAATGTTGATATTAACCCCTGGATGCCGTTCAGATAGTGTTGATGATATTAACCCCCTGGACGCTGTTCAAACAGTGTTGATAATATTCACCCCCCTGACACAGTTGAGTTGTGTTTTCTTTGTTCTGACACACAAGCCTGAAAAGTGAACGTTGTCGCTATAAAAGTGCACAGTAATGTTGAATTTTAATTAAATTCCCTATCCGATGTATTTGTGAAGATCCGTGCTAGACCTGATGTAACTGGAATCCTGCTAAACCCAACTCACTCACTCATTCCATCAGCGGCCCGTGAAGATCCAGGTTAGAATTGGTCTTTAGTAACCGACGCTTGTCGTAACGGGATCTAGGTGGCCAGGCTGGCTAACTTGGTTGACATATGTCACCGGTTCCCAATTGCGTGGATCTATGCTCATACTGTTGAACACTGGATTGTCTGGTCCAGACTCGAATATTTACAGACCGCCGCCATATAGCAGGAATACTGTTGAACAACAAACAACCAACAAATCAACCAATCCTATCCGATGAGTGAGTGAGTGAGTGAGTTTAGTTTTACACCGCACTCAGCAATATTCAGCAATCCAGTGATCAACACCATGAGCATCGATCTGCGCAAATGGGAACTGATGACATATGTCAACCAAGTCAGCGAGCCTGACCACCCGATCCCGTTAGTCGCCTCTGACGACAAGCATGGGTTACTGAAGGCCAATATTCTAACCCGGATCTTCACGGGTATAATCCTATCCGATGGGATAAATACAAATATTGCCTGTAAATACTAAGCCGGCTTGAAAAGATGTCCGAAATTTTGTTATGGGTGAAAAAAAACACATAAAAAAAACAACAAAAAAGCCCGAAGTAAATGTCTCCAAAGCACTTCACGACGATATTTGTTTTCGACTTCATGGAATGTGTGAGGGAACCAAATAATGTCTGGTTGTATCTGTTGTTCACGATGAACCAGACTACTCCAAAGCAAAGATCCACTTTGTAACCGGATACGTTGTAGTATCACAAATTACAGGAAATATTAAAATCACACAACATGAGAATTCATGCAACAGCGAAATGGTTGGTCCTGCCCCATATCTACATAAGTTCTTAGATTCCCATATTCCGGTGTTTGTGTAGATGTATTCCGAGTAATTTTTCATCATCATTAACAGAGTACAAGTCACATCTTCAAATATAAAGAAATTACTGAAAATTGCGACGTCGGAAAAGACGACATTTGTATGTTTATTGATCAACATATGTACCTCACATAATTCCGTAAATTATATAAAAGGCTTCGTATTGGCTGCCATTCTTTCCACAGAACATGAAATGAATGAATTCCGATTTAAATAATGCCCTTATAGATAAACAGTTACCAATAGACAGTTTGATTATGTATCTTAATTTAACGTAAATGAAACGAAATGGTTCACAAGACAGGAATATATTTTCAGTTATAGGAGTTTTCTTCATGATGATGTGGTTTTTTCTTTTCAAAAGTAATGAAAGATGCCAAAAATAGTTCCTTTTGTGTGGAGTTTTCAGAATAATTATTTAAGGTTTGTGCAAAGGAATAATAAATATTGAATACTGGACATTATGTACTAAAGCACGTGTTTCAGTTATGCCTACTTTTCATCCAACACTTGTGTAGGGGCTAAAAATATTGTGTACAGCGCTAAATGTGTCACTTTCGTCTGTAAATATTGTTTAAACAAGCCCCCCCAAAAATGCAAAGAATAGACAACCAGAACATATAGCCTATGTCCGTCTATGGCATCATATTATCATATTGAATAAGGCTAAATGTAATATTTTTCACCTGATGAAGGAGTAAGTCTATACCTTGAAACGTTGTGTTCCCGATAACAAAGACGTTGACATTCATAAAACTCTCTCCCTTATGTTTATGGCTTCTGAATGACATTCAAATACCTGAAGACTTAATGTAGATAATGAAATTAGCTCGCGAAAAAAAGATCTGAAATAAACGTAAAATGTACATTATCATACTTAAACTGATAGTATGCTTAGCTTGATAGTATGACTGTGTTTAATCTTATTCAACCGACTTCCATCTCAAACAAATTGCCAAATATATACAACAAACTTGAGATACTACATCACTATCAATGACAGTGTTGTTTTTTTTTTGTTTTTATAAAATGGCGAGTTCACTGACTTCTCAGGATTTGGCGAGGGTCCTTTCTTTGATTCAGGAATAGTTTGTGGTGTAAGTAATGAGAAACACCCTGACTGCCTACGTATTGCTATTTGCTTTCGTTTTTTTTAGTGAAGTTAGGAATGTCGATGCATTCCGTTGTCGTTGCATCGTTGATTTTGCGTCAGTCACGGCGGACGGAAACACTGACAATTTCGTTTGAATTCATCAAATCACTGTCTCTGTTTTTAATTACCTAACTCTTGCTACAAAATCTATTCTGTGCGTCTACCGAAAATACCGAGACAACGAATGCATTGAATTGACGAATGGATGTCTGACAATTTGAGAAAATGTTACACAGTGTGTAAAATCTGGATTGTTCTGCGTTTACATATCAAACAAGCACAGTCTTACGAACAGAATGTTCGTTTTCACACCAAATATATTTCGTTTGATATCATTTGGACACTTGGTATTGGTGACAAAGACCATTTGTTATTTTATTCTCAAATGTATGAGGAATTCAATGATGCATTTGTCCCATCTGAACGTGAAATATACGTGACGTAATGCAAAAGTGATTTTTTTCCCAATTAAATAACCGATGTTTGCATTTGGCAACATACAGAAAACAACCCAGTTAATCGCGGTTTCGTTATCTCTCACAAATGGCGACATTTACTACGTACCCAAGTTTGAAAAGTCATTTTCAGTACTTTTACTTTGCCAAAGATGATAGTGGATCCTATCAATACACAGGAAGTTTGGGTTAAAATGAAAAACATAAAGACAAATAAGATGACACAGATTGGGAAAGTGTTTACTTACATCATTCACTGATGTACACTAGTATATACAATCCCCCAAACAACGGATCACTGAATATATAGTTCTTTAATTAAAAATCAAAAGTAAAAATATACTTTAATAAATGTAGAAGAATAATTTATTGCACCCATGTTTAGAGGGAAGTACGGAAGCGTAGTAGGGCTCCGGCGAATTTTTTTTTGGGTCATTATCTCCTACGTAGGACTTCGTATCTCCTACGTAGGACATACTATCCCCTACGTAGGACTTAGTATCACCTACGTAGGACATATTATCTCCTACGTAGGACTTCGTATCTCCTCCGTAGTACTTAATATCTCCTACGTAGGACTTAGTATCTCCTACGTAGTACTTAATACATTTATATCCTTTTTAAGGTTGGGATTATCAAGTTTGGTTATTTAGTTGAGAAATGTTTGGCTATGCAGGACATTAGATAGTCGGAATGTGAGTCAGTGAATATTCATGACACTAACGCAGTGTTAGAGAGAGAGAGAGAGAGAGAGAGAGAGAGAGAGAGAGAGAGAGAGAGAGAGAGAGAGAGAGAGAGAGAGAGAGAGAGAGAGAGAGAGAGAGAGAGAGAGAGAGAGAGAGAGAGAGAGAGAGAGAGAGAGAGAAGGGGGGGAGGTGCTGATATGAGCTTGGGACTGGTCAGTTATGACGAGGTGAGGGTGGGGC